TGCTGTTCTCAGGCTGTAGCTCTTCCAGGAGAGCACTTTTCTTCCTCCTTCCCGTGGCCCTTTTCTTTTCTCCTCCCTCCCTCCTTCCTTCCTTTCTTGTAACAAATATTCATTGAGCACTGTTTTGGTTACCAATTGCCAAGTAACAAACCACTCCCAACCTTAGTGTTTAAAAACGACCCCCATTTTATAGTGCCTGATTTTGTAGGTTGGTGGAGCTCCTCTGCGCCGTTCTGCTCCCGTGGTGTTGGCTGGGCTGCCTCATGAGGCTGCATTCAGCAGTGGAAGGTCCAACATGGCCTCACTCATGTGTTGGGCAGTTGGTGCTCCAGCCGGGGCACCTCAGTTTTCCTGCACGACCTCTCATTCTCCAGGATCTTTTCCGCCCTGTGGCCTTTCCAGCAAACTTGCCTGCTGTTGTCTTCCAAGAGGGTGAATCAGAAGCTGCAAGGTCTCTAGACTCGGAAGTCACAGAGCGTTGCTTCCACCACATTTTACTGGTCAAAGCAAGTCACAGACTAGATTCGGGTGGAAAGGAATGATCCTACCTCTTCATGGGCAGAGTGGCAAGGTCATATTGCAAAAAGATACGTGGGATGGGAGAGAGTTGGAAGGCTGTCTTAGGAAACACAGGTACCTACTATGTGCCAGGCATTATTCTAGGCCCTGAGAACACAAAGGTAAATAAAAGAAAAGAAAACCCTTGTTCACCAGGAGCTTTCATTCTGTTGGGGGAAGATGACAGGAAACAAGTGAAATATATAGTAAGTTATATGGTGATAAAGGCTAAAGAGAGAAATAAATTGGGGCAGGATGTGGCGTGGTAGGGAAGCTACAGGGTCAGGGAAGGCCTCACTAAGGAGAGTCATATGAGCAAAGGCTAGAAGGAAGTATGAGATGAGCTTTACCAGTGAAGGGAACAGCAGGTGCAAAGGCCCTGGGGTGAGGACATGGTTGGTGTGGTTGCTGGGGAGGCCTCCAGTAGGCATTTACTGATTGAGATGGAAGATGGGGGAGGACGTTTTAAAAAAATTAACATAATCCATATAACATAAAATTTACCATTTTAAAGTATAAAGTTAAGTGGTTTTTAGTATATTCTTGATGTTGTTCAGACATCACCACAACCTAATTCCAGAACATTTCCATCACCCAAAAAAGAAATCCCATAACCATCAGCGGTTATTCCCTACTCCCCCTCCACCCTTTCCATGGGGGAGACAACTACTAAGACACTTTCTGTCTCTGTGGATTTGCCTCTTCTGGACATTTCACATAAAAGGAATCATGTAATATGTGGCTTCTTTCACTTAGCATATATTTTCAAGGATTATCCATGGTGTAGCATGTATTAGGACTTCATTCTTTTTTATGGCCAAATAATATTCCATCACTTGTACATGCCATATGTTGTTTGTCCATTCATCAGTTGATGGACATTGGGCTATTTCTACTTTTTTGGCTATTATGAATAATGTACAAGTTTTTTGTACGAACCTCTGTTTTCAGTTCTTTTGGATACATTGCTGGGTCATAGGGTAACTCTATGTTTAACCTTTTGAGATTGGTTTCCAAACCAGGCTGGTTTCCAAAGCAGCCGCACAAGTTCACATTCCCACCCGCAGTGGATGAGGGTTCCAGTTGCTCCACGTCATCACCAACTTTTGTCACTTGCCGTTTTTGTGATCGTAGCCATTCTAGTGGCTGTGACGTGGTACGGTGGAAGATTTTGAGCTGAGGAGGGCTTTGGTTTTAACAGAATCTCTGAGGAGTAGATTGAAGGGGAGCAAAAGAGGAAGCAGGGGACCAGTGAGTAACAGGCTACTGCAGTGGCCCCAGCGAGGGAAGGCAGTGCCTTGCACCAGAGTGGTGGAGAGAAGTGGTTGGATCTGGGATATATTCTGAAGGCAGAACTGAGAGGGTTTGCATAAAGGTTGGATGGGGTTGGGGGTGGGAAGGAAAGACAAGTCCAGGATCCTCCCATGTGTTTGGCCTGAGTACCTGGAAGATGAAGTTTCCCTTTGTGGAGATGGAGAAGACCACGGATGGTGGAGGATCATTTTGTGTTTCCTTGTCCCAGTTGCTGGTAGGCAGAGCCAGCCCCTTTTCGGCTTTTGACACGCCCAGCTGGGAAGCTGGGATTGGCACTTTGAGCAGGAGATGTGGAAGAAGGCGGTGAATACCATGATTCACACGTGTTAAAAAGATGCCTGCCTGCCATCCCCACTGACCACGCCCTGAATGTCACTTAAAGCGAGCCATTTGCTTCCCTTCCCTCGGAGTGGGACAATTTCTGCCCGGGGGTTGCAAAGGATGGTGAGGGCATTCATTTTGCTTATGGGCTGGTTAAAAAGGCATGTGGGCTGCAGCCTGCAGGACTCTTATTTCTGAGGCCACTTAGGGAATTACCGTGAGAGAAAATTGTCCCGTGAATGATCTGTGGGCACGGTGGGGTAGCTAATCCTTCCTGCTGGTTGGGAATGCCTTGGGACTTGTCCTTCCCTTAACTGACCAAGCAGTCAGCAAATGCTCTCTTTGCTCCCTCCCTGCTGCTTTGGGCCACCGCCCTAGGCACCAGGAGGAGGGGGTGGTGGGGAGACCATAGTTGACAGGCAACAGTAAAGCGGGCACACTTTCCCCCTCCCCAGGGAGCACCTTGGTGGTGACAAACTTGTGAAGTCAGAGAGGTGAAATTTTCGCTTCAGTGTCTATTAGCCGTGTGACTTGGAACAAGTGACTTAAACTCTCTGATCCTCTGTTTCTCAATCCATAGAAAGGGGGAAATTATGGCATCTACAGTATAGAGTTCTCCTGAGAAGCAAATGAGATAATCCACACATGGTGATTAGCCCTTGTTTCTATTATCTAGTGAGAGAGATCCATAGAGCAACCATTTATATGTGCCTACTGTGTGCCTGCACCCCGTTAAATGGCTTAGCCATGTCTATTATGTGAGGTTAACCTAAAATCCTGCCAAATGGATGTGGCACTTCCTGTCACAGGTGAGCCAGCCCAGATGCTCAAGTTAAGCCCCCGGGTTAAGGTCATACAGCTGGCAAAAGAGAAAGATGGGGTTCGAACTCAGGACTGACTAACTTCCTTTGTGAACACACTAGGAGAGGTCGAGAGGCTCTTCCTATGAGCAAAGAGCTGCAGTGTGTCTTGGGAAGGAGGCCGACCAGCCAGCTGGGGCGTGGTCCTTCATGTCCCTCTGGCAGGTTTAGTCTTCCCAGGCATCTTTGGACTGGGGCGTAGATTGTCTGCACTGTGCTCCCTCATGCATCTGTGCCCCCTCCCGTCTCTCTCGCTTTCCTCTGGATCAGAAGGAACCACCAACCTTCCCCCTTCCACCTCAGTGGCCTCTCAGCTCCTTCTTTCTCCCTTAGTGCATTAAGGACACTTTTTTTTTTTTTACCATGCTTCTACTTTTTGGGGGGTGGGAGGGGGACTTCCTGTCCTCCCTCCACTGCGGCCCCCTTCCCCTGTCAAGCCTCCCCCAGTCAGGCACAGAAATAGTCCCAGCTGTGAGATGAAGGTTGCAGAGTTTAAAATTGCAGCTCGGCACTATTTATACTGCAGCCGGAAAGATGTTTTTTTGTGCAACCGTTTATTTGGTTGTGGTATTGACAGCCCAGGCGGCAGGCGGCAGGCGGCTCCTGCACTGTATAAACATTTCTCCGGGGACAAGTGGCCAGTAAGGGCAGCCTTCAGGTGAGGGGGGCAGGTGCCAGGCCTGCCCAGAAATGTCTGGGAACACCTCCCTGGAGCAGAACAATTCGGCCTGGTAAGCCAGAGAAAGTGGTTCACGTTCCAGCTGAACTTCCTTCCTAGATGCCTGGTAATTAGAAAAAAAAATACAGGTATTTTTTATAAATCATGAAAATAGTACATGCTCAAGGGGAAAAAGGGTTCAGACTAATTTTTACACAAGTGAGTAAAGCAGGGAGACCCTTCATGTTCTATTTTGGTTGGCCCATGGAGCATTACAATTTTTTTTAAAATTTGTGTCACTACTTAAAAATTGGGACATTTCCCATAAAGTTAGAATTTCTGGCTTCTCTTGAAAATGGAAGGTTCTGGCAATGCTGGCCTTGTGTTTGCTGATGGCTGCTAGTGGCTGGCTGCTCCAGAAGTAGGCAGAGTGATTCTCAGATCACCCCAAGCCCCAGTGGCCTGCTTCGCGTTCATCTACCTTACCGCCTGGCCTTGATAACTTCTGAGGTTTGGACCTTTCACGTAACATAAAACATTCAGGGCTCCTGTGTCAGAGTGTCAGACCTCATTCCCCAGTTCCTACTCCCCAGGGCTAAGTAAGCACTATCGATAGGGTTTCCAGATAAACTATGGGACCCCCAGTCACGTATGAATTTCAGATAAACAACAAATACTTTTTTAGTGTAAGTATATCCCCTAACTATTACAGTTTGGTAGTATCATCCCAGGCCTTTCTCTGTTGAAGCAGACACGTTTCACAAGGGTAGTTTTATATTCTATCTCTCCTGCAGTTGACTTTGCTCCCTGTGGTTTGTCTGGAGAGGCATTTTTCAGTGTTGATAAGAGCAGGCTTTGAGGCTGGCGACTCAAACCTACAGGAGAGTCTGGGCCCCAGTGCTTGTTAGCTCTGTGACCTTGAGCAGGTTCCCTTACTTCTCTGAGCCTCAGTTTCCTTATCTAAACAATGGGGGTGATGAGGCTCGCTTTGTTATCTCCTGTTAGTATTTATTTATCTCATCTCTTTTGAGAGCTGCGTCGAGTGGATGGTCCACGGTAGCTTGAACCAGAGAGGTTAAACAGAGGTGCCCATGGTTATCAAGACTGATGCGGGCACATCCCGATTTCAAATGAGGCTACGAGAGGTTCTGAAAAGGCAAAGTAGGTCTGGAGGGAACTGGGCAGATAATCCTAAGATTTAGTTTGCTTTAAAAAAGAAGAAAGACAATGAAGGGCGTTTGTCTCCCTGGAAACCACTTGCTAATCTCCAGGATCTTGTCTCTCTTCAGGCGGCGGAGGTGGAGGAGACCGTCGAGGGCTTGCTCCTCAGGCTGGAAGAGTTTTGCAGCCTGGCTGACATGGTGAGTGCCCGCCTGGGAGCCGTGGGTGCAGGCCCAGCCCAGACTTCAGGGCCTTCCTGGGCTTCCCTGGGGAGCCACCTCGGTGGCGTGGCGGCTTAGCCAGCAGGAGGCGTGGGCAGCGGCGTGGGGGCAGCTCACACCCTCTCCCTCTGTCCACACGAGGTTCCCTGAGGCGGCCATCTTGATAACGCCCTTCCCCGGAGATGCCTTCATTCCACCGAGGAGGCGGGAGTGGGCCACCAGGTGGCACTCTCGGGCCCGATGCGGGGAGCCGGTCGGCGGGGACGCTAAGACTATATTTAACTTTCCTTGCTCTGCACAGTTCGCCAGGCAGACGCGGAGACAGCCAGGAAATGGCTTCAGGCCTGGGAGGCCTAGGAGGAGCCTCCTGGCCGGGCCCTGGCCCTGGAGGGCTGCGGCATCGAGGGCCCTCCTCAGCCCTTTGGTCCCTCCGCTGTTGCCTCCTACCCTGCTTGGTGGGAGCGGCTCCTCCTGGCGGGGTGGGGAGGACCGTGGAAGATGGTGCCCTAGGCCAGGAAGGCAAGGTCTCCACTCCTCCTTGTGTCTCCAGGATTGTTGCCGGACAGCTGTGGGGCCCTGAGGAGTGCAGATAGAATGTTCTGGAAGTTCCCAAGCTTATTAAAGGCACACCAGCAGCCAGGGTTCGTGGCTTTGGCCTGGAGGCCCAAAGGGTGGAGCTCCATTTTGGGACCAGGCCTGCCTCTCCCCCCGAGCACAGGAAGCCCAGCTGGGCCCAGCCGTGCAGATGTGTACCAAGCGTCTGGAGAGACGCTGGTGAGAGCCCCAGGGAGTAGCGTTTGTTGAACATCTACTTTGTGCCATGCTCCGTACAGAGCGTGCTCCCTGTATCCTCCCATCCCACCTCAGAGCAACCTGCCACGATGGGTACGACTTTCTCCCCATACGTTCAACAGACATCTGAGCGTGCCCGTGCCAGCCCCTGGGGACACTGCAGTGAACAAGACACAAACATTCCCACAAGGACCTATCTGTGTTTTTCTCTTGAGTGCCAATTTTTTAGTTCAGATGTGGGTCCAGGTGGGAGCTGGGTAACGAGACTGACTTTGAACGCCCTGAATGGTCCTTTCTTCATCACCGAACATTGGGCACCTTCTCTGACTGGTCCCTTGGTGAGCCTGAGGATGCAAAGGCAGACAGATCTGTCTCCATCCACCCTCCCCTCCCGTCCAACAGCCCCCGATCCCCCAAACGTGATCTGTGTACCAGCCGCTCTCCTCCAGGGTTGAAGCACTGGCCTGGAGGTGTGTTCCAGGTGCGAAGCGAGGCTGCAGAGGCTTTGAAAAGGAAAAGAGGTTCTAGAAGGAACTGGGCACATAATCCCAAGACTCAGTTTGCTTTTTTTAAAAAAACGAAGAGGTGTTAAATTCTGCCTGGGAAATCAGGAAGTCTTTGCAGAACAGGTGGTGATTAGTTTGGGGTTTGAAAGAGGAACAGGAAGAATTCAATTGCTGGGGGGGGGGGGGGGCATTCAGGCAGAGGGACCGGCCTTTGGGGGTGGCATGCTGGGCACATAGGGACAGTGTGGGCCCACACAGTGGGGCATTGGGAAGACGGTGGGGACGGGCGATCCTGGGACATTTTTGTTCTCAAATCCCAGTGCATCCTCCTCCCACGAAGGGAGATCCACCAACCACCCTCAATGAGAGCTTTGGGCAGAAGTCAGCTTGGATAGACAGGGAGGGGCCAGGCCTTACTTGCCTTAAAAACTTCAAGGCTTCCTGTGGTGGGAAGTCTGCGGAGGCGCAAGATTGTATGCAGCATCGAGAAGATCCTCTCCAAACTCAAAGCCTAGAGATGCATTTATGCAAAGATTTTAAATACAGAGGTCACAAGATGACCCATGGGCCCAATCCTGTCTGCAGACATGTTGGATGTCTCTGGGAAAAAAAAGAAAAAGGAATGAGCTGCTGACATTTATAGAATGTCATGCAAAAAAATATGGATTCCCGGCTTCTCTTGGAAAAGCAAAGATCTGTCCTTCCCGCCACCCCCTGCCCCGTGCGTGCTTGTTCTCACCTGGCAAGCATCAGCCAGAGCTGGACAGTGACCACCCCTGTGGAGAGCACACGTGCTCTCCAGCTTGTCACCGTCCCCACTGCTCCCCATGGGAGCCTCCTTGACTCCCCGGCCACCTACCAGGGGCATCCATCCTGTGCTCTGTGCATGTGTTTTATGGTAGAGAACATTTCTCTGTACTTCGGGCCCTACTGAAAGCAGGCAGATATCCACCAGACCGAGAGAGTCCCATGTTTTTAAGAAATGGAAGAGATCGCACTTCCCGGGAAGTGAAGACTATTTCAGTGTGTTTATATGCAAATGAGCATGTCTACATTAATAATAGAATGCGCCTTGTACGATGCTTTTGTGGCCCATGGAGGTGTTTTGTGTTTGCAGTCCCTACAATGAGGCTCTGTGCTGATGCCGTTTAGATTATAGAAATCCTCTCGGCCCCAACAGCTGGTGCTTAGCTTACCTAGTGTGTCTGTGCCCAGGTGTCATGGGCTCCATGGCACAGAGAGAGAGCTGTCCAGCTATCAGCCCTGACTTGGGACCTCCTTTTCTCTTTTGATCCAAGCCAGGGATGAGTGGGGACCTCTGGGAGGCAGGTGATGTCACACCATGGACCACTGTCCCCAGGGCCCTGCTTTGGCCTTTGGAAACACTGATCAAGTTAGAGGTCCCAGAACGGCCGGGCTCCCTGGTGCACAGTCCAGAGAGAAATGGTTTATTTCTGATAAAATCAGGCTATTAGGAATGAGAGTCCACCTTCCTGTCTGATGTATTAAGTCCTCTGCCAGTCTGTCCCGGATCACTCCAAGTGACCAGCATTCACACCATGTGCTCGTGACCTGTTCTAACCTTAGATATAATACCTCTTGCCATCACTTCAAGCTCTGACTCTTCCCAGTGGGGCCTTGGGCACAGCATGTCACCTTTCTGTACCTTTATTTTCTCCTCTGTAAAATGGCGGTGGTGGCTCTGATTATGTACTGCAGCATCAAACTACCCCAACACTTAGTGGGGTGAAACAACCACCAATTTAATATGTGGGCCAGGACAGCTCATCCAAGCTCCGTGGCACCTACTGGGCTGGGGACATCCAGGGTGGCTGCTTCCCTCACTTGTCTGATGTCTGGGCTGGGAGGGCTGGCTGGCTGGCTGGGGACCGGTTGGTATCAGTCTCCACGCGGCCTCTCCTCGTGGCCGTCTGGCCTCCCAGAGCCAGCGCTCCAACAGATGGGAAGTGGAAGCCTCTGGAGACTTAGGTATGGCAGTCAGCACAGTGTCACTTCTGTCGTATCTTATTGGTCAAAGCAGCCACATAGCCCACCCGGATCCAAGGGGAAAGGACATAGACCCCTCTGCTTCATGGAAGGAAAGTACAGAACTTGTGGCCATCAATCATCCACTGCAAATGGTACCCATCTCCAAAGAGTGATCGCGAGGGATAGACGAGGCAGGGATGTGCCCTTTACATCCAGTAGAACGGCCAAAATGAAAAAGACAGACATTAGCAAGTGTGGACGAGGATGCGGGACAGCTGAAACTCTTTCACTGGCTGGTGGAAATGCACGAAGGGACAGCCGTGTGGAGCAGACACTCGCACACAAATGTTCATAGCGGCTTTGTTCATCATGCCCCAAACTGCAAGCAACCCCGGTATCTGTCGGCAGTAGAAATGGGTAAATAAACTGTTGTTTATTCATACACTGGAATGCACAGCAGTGGAAAAGAACGACCTGCCGTACACAGCAACATGGGTGATTCTCACGAATGTGCTGTTGAGGGACAGAAGCCAGACACACGAGTGCTTCCTGTGTGAGGCTCCACAATATGAAGTTCACACCTAGGCAAAACCAGTCCATGGGACGGAAGTCAGGTAGAGGTTAGCCTTGGGAGGGTGGTCGTGACGGGGAGGACGCCAGAAGGAGCTTTATGGGGTGAGGGGATGTTCCATGCGTTGGTCTGGGTGGTGGTTCCACAGATGTAAACACACATACCGATTCATCGAGCTGTCCGTAAGGCCTGGGCTCTTCACCGTATGTCATTTACACTCAATCAAAAGTAATTGCTTAGCATGGTGCCTGCTATGTACTAAATGACCCGTCATCATCATCAATATTAAAGCCCCAGGGGGCCGCGACACAGATGAGTTTATCCGCAGAAACTGGATTTGTGAGGCCTTTCAGCTCAGTGCCCTTGGGGCTTTGGGCAGCTTGTCTGGGCCCTCGGAAACCCTAGTAGCCTTGGGCCCACCTTCTGGCAGGGAGCGGACTCTCCCATCTCTCACATAAATGGAGAAAATTTCCCGTTGGCCTCGGCCCAGCAGTTGCATTTGGCGTTGGTGCGCGTTCTTAGGTCAAGTGCATCTGGCTCTTCTTCCTGGGCCTTGCATCATCCTGGAGAGCCATGTTTGCTCTGTGATAACACCCTGCATCCGCTACCCAGGCTTCTGGGCTCCGGAGACCAGCTCCGGGGAGCTGGGAGGACAGGCTGGGGAAGGGTCCGCCAGGCCCCCCGGCCCATAGACCTGGCTGGAGTTTCATCCCATTAGAGGCTCAAAAAGCACTGATTCTTCCCTGACATCTTTGTTCTTCTGAGAAGTATGCATAAGCATGAACTCACATGCCTGTGATGTGATGATGTGAGGTGGGTTGGGTGTGAGAAGAGAAATGTGTCCCTTTCCTTCCACTCCCCTGTAAGATGAACAGGGCATGAGGTGGCCACGGACGCCATGCTGGGGAGACTGTAGGTAGTGGTGGAGACTCTGGTGAACCAAAGCGGGCTGTTGTCACCCAGCGCCAGCTCATTGTTGCCAGGGGGAACATGTGGCATGTCAGTGTGGCCGGGTCTTCTGATTTCTCACAAGAAGCCAGAAATCTGGGTTTCTAAGGGAAATATCCTTAATTTTAGATCTTGGCACCTAGCTTGGTTGTACTTTCGGTTTTTCAGGCTGGCTCTGCGTGAGCCTGATAGAACACGTCTGCAGACCTCTGGTGTTAGGAGGTGGCCTCAGACCCACCTGGATTAGCATCCTCCATCTCCCACTTTGTAGGTTTGCAACCTTGCCCAGCTCATTTAGTTTTTCTCAGTTTCATCACCTATAAAACAAGGTTGAAGAGAAAGCAATTCCTGTACCACGCGGTCTGTTCCCAGCACGTGGTGAACGCTCCTGGGTGTCGGTACCCTGCCCCCCCCCCCCAGCCCATGTTAAATACCCTGGTTTTTGTCTCTCGGTTCCCAGCTCTTGGGGGAGCCAAGAGGAAGGTTTGGGGGTGTTTCAGACTCCAAGGACTACCCTCTACTTTCCCCCCAAGGACCTGCAGGCTACCTTCTGGGCAGGCGTAGAGAGTTCCCTCTGCCCTGAGTCTCAGCCAGTGGAGGAGCCTCTGCAAAGAGGGGCCTTCCTGCTCGGCCCGCAGACCCTCTGGCCCTCCAGTTCCTGAGGATCTGAGGGGAGGCGGGCAGAGTTCCAGAATCTCATCTCTGCCGCGTTCCCTTCACCCCCGTGGGTTGCTGAGCCCAGTCCCTCCTGATTCTCACTTGTTCTCCGCTGCTTGTTTCTTTAGAAATTAACAGAAAGAAAAGATCTGCCTTTGATTCCCTGTGCTCTGACCTTGTCATGAGTTTCTGTTCTTCATCGCATCATGGCAATTTCTCCCGAGTTTAGCCTTGTTGAGGGATGGGCTTCTCTCTAGAAATTTGGCCTGGGGGTAACAAGGGAGGATATCGAGCCCTTTTCCCTATCCCTGCTAACAACTGCAGGCGCCTGCAGGAGCCAGGCAGGATATGGAGGGAGTCAGGGGCTTGGGGCGAGGCGCTAGGGATGGGTGGCCACTGCAGAAACTGGGAGCGCGCGTGCCATTGAGAGGGAGCAGTTGCTACTCAGCCCAGCCTGCGGTGCCTGGGGAGATGTGGGCCCAGTGTCGCCAAAGATGCTGACTTTTAAGAGAAGTTATAAATCCGCACTTAATCTGTTGGATATTTTAAAGCCATATCTATGTATTTTATTTTGGAATAGTTTTAGATTTACAGAAAAATTGCAAAGAGTTCCCACACACCCCTCATCTAGTTTCCCCCACTGTTAACCTCACCTTGGTACCTTTGTCAAAACCAAGGAACCAACACAGATCCTTGGCTACTCACTGAACGCCACACTTGGTTGTGATTCCCCAGCTTCCCGTTAATGTCCTCCTTCTGTTCCAGGATCCATCAAAGACACCACATTGCCTTAAATTGTCAGGTCTCCTTAGGCCCCTTTAGTCCGTGACAGTTTCATTCTTTCCTGACTTTCCATGACTTTGGCAGTTGTGAGGGGTATTTGGTATTTTGTAGAAGGCCCCGCAGTTTGGGTTTGTCTGATGTTTTCTTGTGCTTAGATGGCGTTGTGAGTTTCTGGAGAGAATCCCCAGAGCTGAGGCGCCTTCTCATCACATCACATCAGGGGCACGTGACACCCACACGGCATCACTGGGCTGGTGGCCTGGCTCCGCGGTAGCATCACCACATCCCCCTTTCTGCGACCCATTCAGTGCCTTGTTCCTGTCACATTCGTGTGTATTTATCTTATAGTTGGGGATATCGTCCAATGTTACATTATTTTGTTGCTCAAATTGTCCCAGTTTGGGCCATTTGGCTCTTTCAGGTTGGCTCTTGTGTTCCTTTGACCTGCCCCATCCTTCTTTTCTTTTTTTTTTTTTTTTAACACTTTCTTACTTTCTGGCACTATGAGATGCTCCAGGCTTTTATATGTTCCCTGCCCCAACCCTAGAATCAGCCATTTCTCCTCGGAGCTCCACTTGAGTTTTAAAGTTGGAAATTAAGTCAAATTTAAAAACGAAAACACTTTGTGGGCCAAATGAGCCACATATGTGGGCCACATGCAGACATGGACGATCTTGTATAATCCTTAAAGCATCCTTTCGAGAGAAACACTAGTCTGATCCCCACTTTACAGATGAGGAAACCGAGGCACAGAGAGGTCAGGGCAGAGACTGAGGCCAGACAGCCTGGTGCCAAATGCCACCCTCTCGGGGCTGCTGTTTGGCCCCAAGGGGTCAGGGCATGGGAAAGGAGTGTGCCTCAGGACAGTGGGCGTGGAGCCAGGTGCCCAGGGAGATGGCAGTGCCCTGACCAGAGGAGGGGGACCAGGAAGGAAGGGTTTGGTTTTAGACATGCAGGTGATGGAATGGCTACCCAGGGCAAGGAGGGAAGTGTCATCCTGAACAGTGATGGGAGCGGAATGGCAGGAGAACCAGAGGTCTCATATATTTAGGCAGAAAGAGGAGGGAAAATGGGTACAGTTTTCAAAAACATTTTTTAAATTAAAATTTTTTGCTGAGTTGTCACCTTGTATTAGTTAGCTATTGCTGCATAACAAATTCCCCCCCCACCATACTTAGTGACTTAAGCAATGATCTTTATTATGTGCTAGTGTCTGTGGGTCAGGACTCTGGTACAGCCTAGCTGGGTCCTGTAGGTCAGGGTCTCTCACAGGCTGCCATCGAGATGTTGGCCAGGACTGTTGTCATCTCAGGGCTCGACTGCGGCAGGATTGCCTCCAGGCGAAGTCAGTGTTTCTGGGCAGGATCCAGTTCCTCATGATCATTGAACTGAGGCCCTCAGTTCCTCACTGGCCATTGGCCAGAGGCAGGCTTCTCCATCACGGCAACTTGCTTCTTCACAGCTGGCAGGAGAGGGCAAGTGAGAAGGAAGAGGGGGTGGGGGGAAGCATGCATGAACCAGGCGGTAGGAGAGACCACCAGCAAGATGGAGTGACAGTCTTCTAGTCTCAGGAGGGCCATGTCTCACGTTGGCTGACTCCTCTTCATTAGAAGCCAGTCTCTAGATCCAGGCAATGGTCTCGGGGAGGGGATCACACAAGAACATGAACACCAGGAGGTGGGGCTTGTTCAGGACCGTGTCAGAAGCTTCCCGCACACGCCATGCCAAACAGTCTGCTAAACGTTCTATCCTCACTGCATTCCAAGGAAGCAAGGACTGTCTTGATTGCTTCCCTGTCCAGACAAGCAAAGGAGGGCTCAGAGAGGTGCAGTGACTTGCCCGAGGTCACACAGCTCATGGTGGGTAGAGCTAAATTCAAACTCCAGTCTGAGTCCTAGTAGCCCACTGGTGTTTCTCTGACTGTCCCCGGACCGCCACTCCAGCACAGCCTTGGAGCTTGGCAGAAAACAGATTGCCCGCCACCCCCACGCAAGCGAGACCAGACTTGGAGGAGCCTTCAAATCAGCATTAACAGGCTTCCCTCCAGGGGATCCACATGCTCCCTAGAATCTGAGAGTGGTATGTATTCCGCCTCTCTGTGTGGTCAGGACATGGTAACATGGAAATGGAATCTCTCTGTCTCTCATACACACACACACACTTAAAGGTTAGGCTTGGTCCTTTTGGCTCTGCAGGAAAATGGAGGCTTAAGTGTCCGATCTCAGTGATCAAGGGAAAGATGTGGCTTCCCAAAGTTCTCCGTCGCTTTTGGGGTCCTTCCAAGCAGAAGAATCTTGAAATTAAATGAGATGCGTGATGCGCAGGAAATACTTAGCGCAGTGGCTACGTGTAGGAAGCAGCACGACGATGAGACTCGTTATTAATGTTAATGATTATTATTAACTCTTCTCATTGATATTATTAGTTCCAGCGTAACAGAAACTTGATTTAGCTCGACTTCAGTTTAGAGAAGAGATTTTGATTCTTTCCATTTGGTCCAGTTCACTGGTTTACAATATAAAGGTATTTAGTTTGGAGCTGGTGGTGTTGGGTGTTTGATCAGGGGGAACGATTAATTTGCAGTTCAGTAAATAATACCTGGTTGGGTCTGGATGCCGAGAGGCAGTGAGGTTGGTCCCCACCTGGGACTATGGGTCGTTCCTGGGCCTGTCCCTGGGCAGGATGGCATTCGGTGTCTCCGCCATCAGCGAGGTCTCTGAAGAGCCTGGCCGCCCCAGGGCGGCAGGAGGACGCGGGGCTGGGCCGGAGAGCCTGATGAGCTGTCTTGTTCCCTGCAGATCAGGAGCGATACCTCACAGATTTTGGAGGAAAACATCCCCCTCCTTAAGGCCAAGGTGATGGAAATGCGTGGCATCTACACCAAAGTGGACCAGCTGGAGGTGAGTCCAGGATAATGAGCTTTCTTTGTGAGCTCCACGGACTTGTTCTGGCTCTCTCGTTGTCTCTTCCAAGATGCTGATCTGGCCTTGATAGTGTCAGGCCTTAGACCCAGTGGAGTGGGGTGGTAGCCAAAACGGGGCCTACACAGTATCTCTAAAATATGACAAATATGAATTTATATAAAGTACCCATTTAAAAATCAGGGTACTTTATACAAAAATCTGCATTTTCAGCTGCTTTTGGAAATTCAGCAGCTTTCATAACCCTAGACCCACCTTTCTTTAAATACTTTATTCTGTTTATTTTTTAAGGTATAAATACATAAAGTGCACACATAGTAAGTGTACAATTCAGTGAATTTTTACACATATAAACTCCCAGGTGAAGATGACCCAAACTGAGAAATAGAACATTTCCAACCCCTAGGCTATATTCTGGTAGAGCTGGTGGCAGCCGCCCCTCAGACGAGACATGTGTTCTGCATTTCACCACAATCCGCACCATGCCCTATTGCCTCAATGCTGACTTATTTCACCTGCCTTTTACCTGTGTGGGCACCAGGCTAAGGTGCATGGTATCTCATTTCCTCTTGGCTGCACTGCAACGTCAGTATCCTCACCGTCCCATCTCCTAGAGGAGGAACACGAGCTCTGAGAGGGTAAGCCACTTCTCCGGGGTCACACAGCTAATTCTGTGAAGCTGGGACTTCAGTTCATATCCTCTGGAGCCCAAGCTCTTACTCAAACTGGGGCCCTTGGCTTGGGCGCCTGGCTTCTTGCACAGTGAAGGACCGGGAGGCTGGAGGAGCCTGCAATTTAATAACTGTCACCTAGACCAAGGGGATGTGTGCCCCTCTGAGCTGTGGAGGAAAGGAGCCCGGCAGTGGGCCCAGAGTTAACAGAGAATTAACATTCTTGTCAGCAGAGAATGAGGCAGGAATATAATTAAAACTTTGCCCTTGGAATAGCTGATTCATTTGAATTTCATTCCACATGTTTGAAAGAGGAAAGAAAAGGTGAAGATTTGTAGCCCTGGTTCTTGCCTTGCTTGGGCTGGCCCAACTCTCAAGCCCAATTTTTTCCTTAGTATTCAGTCCGCTAGCATTTATTGAGGACCTACTATGCACCGCTGCAGGGCTCTCACAGTGAGAAAGACAGAGTCCAGGGGTGTGTTCCAGCCAGGAGAGACACAGCAACAAAGCATGGCCGTAGCATTTCCCGGGGCTGCTGTAACAAGTTATCACAAACATAGTGGCTTAAAACAACATGAATTTAGCATCTTACAGCTCTTGAGGTCAGAAGTCCAAAATGTGTCAGCAGGAGTCAGCAGGGCTGGTTCCTTCTGGAGGCTCTGGGGTAGAGTTCACGTCCTGGCCTTTTCCAGTGTCTGGAGGCCGCCTGCGTCGTTCAGCTCATGGTGCTGTCCTCCACCTTCAAAGCCCACAGTGTAGCATCTTCCAGGCTCTGTCCTCCTCTGACTCTCCTGCCTCCATCTTATAAGGATGCCTGTGATTACCCGGATAATCCAGGACAGTCTCCCCAGCTCAAGATCCTTATTCACACCTGCCAAGTCCCTTTGGCCACAGGCTCTGGGAATGAGGATGGGATATTTTGGGGGCCCGTGATTCTGCTGACCACATTCACCAAGGGTGACCTAGAGGGAGTCGGGTGCTCTGGAGGGAAGTAGCGAGCAAGGAGTGGAACCTTCTGGCCCCCGGAGGGTGAGTGGAAGGAGCTGTGCTGGGCGCATGAGGGCACAGCTCAGGCAGAGGCCCAGAGGCGGGGGGCATCTGCGCTCTGGGGCAGGAAGGAGACGGGGACACTGGAAGGATCCGGGGAGGGCCAGACTACAGGGATGAGGGAGGTCATGACCTGAGCGGGGCTGGAGAAATTGGGCAGCAGGAGGCCCGTTGTCTAGGCCTTCCACTCCAAGGTCAGCATGGTGGCCTTTTTCCTGAGGAGTAGGAAGCCGCTGAAGACACAGGATGGCTCATTGGTTAGCAATCATTCCCCACTCCTGGCCCCTGGCAACCACTCATCTACTCTGAGTCTATGCATTTGTCTCTGGACATTTCATATCATATGTGGCCTATGGTGTCTGGCTTAGTTTACTTTGCATAATGCTTTCAAGGTTCATGCAGGTTGGAACATGTGTCAGAACTTCATTCCTTTTTATGAATGAATAGTATTCCATTGTAGGGATGGCTATACCGCATTTTGTTTATCCATTCATCAGTTGATGGGTCCTTGGGTTGTTTCTACTTTGGGGCTATTATGAATAATGCTGCTATGAACATTCACGTTCAGGTTTTTGCGTGGCTATACATTTTCATTTCTCTTGGGTAAGTACCTAGGACTGGAATTGCTGGGTCATGTGGTTAAGTCTTTTTAGGAACTGCCAAGACCAGTTTCCAAAGTGTTGACACCATTTTACTCTCCCACCAGCAGTTACTGTAAGCTTTAGATGGAGATTGCAAACTCAGATGCCAGCAGGATCCAGGACCGTGCTGGGCAGTCAGGTATTAGAAGACCAACCCCAAGCCACCCCCCCTTACTTTCTGGGAAGAGCTGGAGCTGAGAAGCAACTCTCCCCTTCAGTGGGGTGTGAATCTCTCGGCTGCCACAGTCCCCACTCTGCCCTAGAGTCTCCCCAACATTGAGGCTAAGTGGCATTTGCCTCTTGTCAACCCCCCGGAACTGCTGCTTTCCTTAGACTAGAGATATTTCTCTGTAACTGGGTCTCCATTAAAAGGAAGAGGGCTTCCCTGGTGGCGCAGTGGTTGAGAGTCCGCCTGCCGATGCAGGGGACACGGGTTCGTGCCCCGGTCCGGGAAGATCCCACATGCTGCGGAGCGGCTGGGCCCGTGAGCCATGGCCGCTGAGCCTGCGCGTCCGGAGCCTGTGCTCCGCAACGGGAGAGGCCAAAACAGTGAGAGGCCCGCGAACCACAAAAAAAAAAAAAAAAAAAGGAAGAAAAAGTTAGTCCAAGAGGGTCATGGATTTCAAGGCAAATGGGAGAATATGTATTTCCCACTAAGCTGCATGTGACATGAGAACAATAAAACTTAGGACCCGATCAGACCCCAATCTGAGGCGGATGGATTCCAGAGCCAGACCACCTGGGCCTCAGATCTGCCCCTTGGGTAACTCACTCACCCTCTCAGCATCAGTTTCCTCCTCTGTATATTGTGACTATGTCATCGTGAAGGTGTTAGTTCAGCACCTGGCATCTTGTAGATGCTAGCTGAGGACAGGCTATCACTATGGTGGTGGCCATTGCCCACAGGCTGAGAGCCAGAATCTGGGATGCCTGCTCATCACTCGGCCCAGCCAACTGGGGGCTCCAGGGCCTAACATGTCAGGGGGTTCCAGGGAGCCCAAGACCACTCAGCTCTCAAATCAGTGTGACCCATGGCAGGGGAGGCTTGGGAACCATGGGGGTGACCTTTCAGGCCAGAAAAAACTAACATTTACTGAGCACCTGCTATGAGCCAGGGACTCTTAAGTGCTTTAGTTGAAACAACTTGCTTCACCCTCACAGCAGCCCCAGGAGGAAGGTCCCATTATTAGTCCTATTTTGTAGAGAAAGTGGCTGAGGCACAGAAAGGCAAAGTTATTTACCCAAGGTCACACAGCTAGGAAGTGGTGGAGCTGGGATTACAAAAGTCAGTGCTGGCGTTGGCACCCTTTCTGGACTGGGCCCTGCTCTGAAGCTGGGGGCCTTTGCCACAAGGATTCAGATACATCATTGAGGACTCACAAATAAAATTTAAAACAATGTGACTTTCCCTTCTCTCTCATCCCTCCCCCCCTTTCCTTCTTTCCTTCCCTCCTTCCCTTCTTCCTTCCCTCCCTTCTGATAATAAAAGTGGTTCATTTTCATTGTAGAGAAAATTATATAGAAGTCACCTATAGTCCTAAGGGTGGTCCCAATTAGCGGTCACCCTCCTTTTGTCCCCTCTCCTCCCCTCTCTGTGTGGATGCGTGTCCGCGTCTTTCCAGTTTCCCCGGATCAGCTTTCCTGGCCAGGTTTCGGCCTCTCCCTGGCTGCGGCTTGGCCGGGCTGCCCTCTCTGGCAGGCACTTTGGAGGCGGTTCCGACCTCGTGAGCGCACATTCCTCAGCATCCCTCATACTCCCCGCCACATCGGTATTAACGGTATTAACGCAGGGAGCGTAAAATTGGAATCGGCTGGAGGAGGGACTGTAGAACTTTCTTTTGTGTCTTACAACCAGATGTGCAGGCCCAGCAAGGCCAGGGGAAGCTGCCCAGCCTGTGGCTCCTTGTCTCCCCGCCCCCCAACACACACGCACACACGCACGCACACACACGCACACACGCGCGCACACACACACACACACACACACTTGATGTGGCTTATTCAGAGCCTTTCAGCTCTGCCCCTGCCAGAACCACAGGGCGGCGGCAGCACAGCAGTGCCACCATCTTGTGTTCATCCAATGTCTTTTTGCTAAAGATGCAGTCATGCATGCATGCATGCATGCGTGCATGTATTCATTCCTGTGTGTGCATTGATTCATCCATGCATGTGTGCATTCCTGCGTGCATGCATTCATCCATGCATACATTCATTCATTCATTCATGCTTGCATGTATTCATTCCTGTGTGTGCATTGATTCATACGTGCACGCATGCATTCGTGCGTGCATGCATCATCCATGCATACATTCATTCATTCATTCATGCTTGCATGTATTCATTCCTGTGTGTGCGTTGATTCATACATGCACGCATACATTCATTCACGCGTGCATGCATTCATCCATGCATACATTCACTCGTGTGTGTGCACTCGTTCGTTCATTCATGCTTGCGTGCATTCGTGCCTCCACCATCCAGCTGACGAGGCCCTGGCTAAGGCCTTGTGAACAACACTGACTTAGCATCTGCTCTTCCAGAACTTACATCTAGAGGGAGATGGACCGTGAACAAGCAGACAGGAAGTTCAGAGGGAGAGGAGAGCTAGGAAGACGGGGAAACGGGTGGCTCCGCAGTGACGTGGGGCATGTTAGATTAGGTGGTTGGGGAAGGCCTCTCTGTCGGGGGACAGTGGATCCAGGGCCTGAGAGACAAGCGGGGTTCACCCCATCGAGAACAGAGAAGTGCTGCTGGTCTGGAGAGAGCTGGTGCAAAGGCCCTGTGGAGGGTGAGGCTTGGCATTCTCAAGGAACAAAAGGGCAGCCTGTGTGGCTGGTGTGTGGGACACGGGGAGAGGCAGGGCTGGGTGGTGGTGGGCCTTGCTGGATGGGCTGACCGGGGCTTTCCATCCAGTGAAGGGAGGCTCCCTCGTGGGGCCCAGCACTGAGAGGGTCTCCTGCCTCTTCCTGGTGCAAGAAAATCTCTTGCATTTTACTATTGCAACAGGGAGGTTCCAATAGTAAAAGCCTCCGCCGAGGGGGGCTTGTCTGAAATGGCACCGGAGCCGCCACCTTTGGTGGCCTTCCCGGCTGTACGTGCAGTGCATGTACAAACACATGCACGTGTACACACCACACAGACACATGCACACAACATATGGGCACACACGCAAACATACACACAACACACACAAACACATGCACACAACACACAAACATAGGTACCCACGGAAACACACATGCACACAACACACAGGCACACCAGAAGTCACAAATGAGTTTCACCGGGCCTGCACAGGACTTTTTTAAATTGTGAAATTATTGCTAACGTTTTTAAAAACTGGACACTTTTCATAAAATCTGAATGTCCTTTTTTTTTTCTTTTTAAATGATGTTATCTGATATTAATTGAGCTCTTAATATACCCTAAGCACTTAACTGCAGAACAAGGTTGGTATTATTATTATTCCCATTTTACAGATAAGAAAATTGAGGATAATAGAAATGAAGTAAGTTGCCAAAAGGCACACAACTAGTAAGTGATAGAACCTGGATTGTAGTCCAGAGAATCTGACCCCAGCATTCTCTTTTCTTTTCTTTTTTCTTTTGAAATTGGAGGTTCTGCACTAGAGACCCAGAGCTGAGTGACCCTTGGGGGCCGGGACCCAGCATTCCAGTTCACCCTGTCCGCACTCATCCTACTTCACCCGCTTGTCACCTGCCTGCCCCTTGGCAGCTTCTGCGTTTGAGACTCCCCCAATATCCATCAAATATTAAAGTGAGCGATTTCTAAAAACTCCATTTTTCATAAAGAAGGCTGTGCAGCCTGAGTCCCCTCTCTGCCACTTCCTGGCTGTGTGACTTTGGGCAGGTGGTCCAACCTCTCTGAGCATCAGTTTACCTCCTCTGTAAAATAGAGGCTAAACAGAGGGTCACTAGGGGGAGAAGGTGAGAGGACACGAGTGGAGGCTCGGCCAGGCCAGGCCTCCAAGAGGGAGGTGTCACTGTTACTGTCAGGGTTTCTGAAGGTGCCCCCAGCTGGGCAGGTGCTGCCTGAACTCTCCCGGAGCCCATGGGGCCAGGTGAGAGGGAGGCAGCCAGGAACACACCCCAGTCTGCACAGATGTGGCATCACTGCTTTCCCCTCTCCCACCAGGCCTTTGTCAAGATGGTCGGGCACCACGTCTCCTTCCTGGAAGCCCACGTGCTTCAGGCCGAGCGGGACCACGGGGCCCTCTCACAGGCCCTGCGGAAGTGGCTGGGCTCCTCGGGGCTCCCCGCCTTCGGGAACGTGAGTATCCCCTACCTCCCTGCCCCCTCCCAGACCCTGGAGCAGGGAGAGGGGCTCAGGAAACAGGAGTTCAAAGGGCACGGCTGGCTTCTGCAGACAGGAAACAGCATCTGGCCAGCCGGTGGGGAGCTGGCTAGGTGGCTGGAGTGTTGCAGTGCCTCCCTCGTGCGCCCCTGCGTGCCCTGAGCCGCGTGCTTCGGTGCCGTGACTGCCCGCCGCCTCACCCACCAGTTAGTAAGTGCTGCTGTTTGCCAAGCACTGTGGTCCACCTGGGGTTACCATGGTGAATAGAAGCAGCCCCTGCCCTCCTGTCCCTTCCACACCTAAGGACGTGCTCAGAGTGACTTCCAGAATTCAGGCGGGGTCCCCCTTCCCAAGGCACAAGTCAGCCTCTAGCAGACCAGAAAACGGGACGGTGAGAGGGGCAGCCAGCCCGCAGCTTGCAAAGGCCTCTCTCTCCCACATTGCTGCTTTCCTGGGATCCTCCCTATAAGAAAGGAAAGGTCATTGTGTCCCTTTTACTGATGGAAAAACTGAGGCCAGACTGATCCTGCCTTGCAGAGACCTTCAGTGTTTAAGCACCTCTGTCTTTCCGGCTTACTGATTCCCTAGTCTAGGGGACATTGGGCAGTGTCTGGAGATGTTGCAATTGTCACAACTGGAGGCAAGTGGGTAGAAACCAGGGATGCTTTTAAACACCATTGAGTGTACAGGACAGCCCCCCACACCAGAGAATTATCTAGCCCTGAACATCAGTAGTGCTGAGTTTGAGAACCCACTCTAAGCTGGATTTGATAATTTTATGTCAGGTCTGCTTTAAGCACTTTGTGTGCTGTTGTATATGGCATCTGGTTCTCATGCCAGTCTTTGGAGGAAGGTACTTTTGTCATTTCCCCATTTTACAGTTGCGGAGACCGAGGCTCAGGGTGGTGAAGGGACTTGTCCGAAGCCACACTGCCTCAAGTAGCAAGGCCAGGCTGGAGCCCTGGTTGACCTATCTCCAGGGTCTTGCCCTTTCCAGGAAAGGGGTCTTGCTCAGCCAGCTGCTATGTCCTGCCCCCCAGTGGGGTCTCTCACTGTTCTTGGGCCCTGCCTGGGGGTCCCCCTCTGTTCTCTCTGTCCCTCCTGCATGCCCCCCTTCCCTGTCTCCACTTAGTGTTCTCACAAAGGCTCATATATCGAGCATTTACAGTGTTCCAGGCACTGCTGAGGTATTTCATGTGCGTTAATTCATTTACTTTTCCCGACCATCGTGTGCGCTGGGAATGAACGTTATCCGCATTTGACTGATGAGGAAACGGAGTAGTTGCAGTGTTGCCACTCTGGCCCCGTGTGAACTCGTTCTGTTTGGCTTGGGATGCCTGCCTGGGTGTCACTCTCCAGTCCCTGCCAGGACCCCACTGCTCTGTCTTGTCTTACACCTGCCTGAGGCATGTGCTGCTTACCTGCCTGCCTCCAGGTGAGGGACTTGCCCAAGGCCAGTAGCAGCTAGACAATGGCCTCACAGATCTCATGATCTCGGAACTCCTATTGATCCTTTAGAGCCAACTTAATACCACCTCCTCTGAGAAGCCCTCTGGGATTGCCCCCTCTCCAGCCAAATGTGGTCTCTCCTGCCTTTCAGTGAAGTCAGGAGTTGCCTTCTTGGTCCCTTGAGTTATGGTGACTGTTCCAGGGTGACCAGGAGCCCCCCAGTCACACAGTGCTCTGCCCGCTGATGACTTAGAAGCACCATGGGGGAGGAAGGACAGAGGACCTTGGCTGCCCGTGGTCTGCAGCAGGAATCCTAACAGTGGGGCCTGCTGGGTCCTTGGTCTCTGTACTTTACAGCCTTTTTCTATAGCCTGCACAATTGTCCCTTTGTGGTTGGCACTAGTGTCCTCATTTAGTGGCAGAGGCCAAGGCTTGGAGGGGGAGAGTCGCGAATCCAAGGTCAGCGCCGGGGTTGGAACTCAGGCCCGTGGGGCTGTGAAATGGGGTCCGCCGCCCACTCCTGTTGCAGGATCCCATCGGGGTGTGGCCGGGCATGCGGGGACTTGCATCCTCTCATCTCTACCAGACTCAGGGCCCCCCAGCCCTACCTGCAGTGACTTGTTCCAGGAGATGCGTCCCAGCCAGGGGTGGTGAGTCATTCAGCAACCGTGGCATGTTGATCTTGGCCCTGGGAGGGCTTTGTGTGGAGCAGGCAATGTAGGCAAGTGTGCGCACACGCATGTGCAGACCCGAGGGTTTCCAGGGCTGCACCTGCACCCGGGGGTGCAAGCTGAAGTGGCCCTTCCAGAATAATGGCTGTCACGGCTTGTACTGGGGCCTTGACCCGGCAGGCACCTCACATCCCACCCTGTGACATAGGTCTAGTCACTGTCCCTATTTTACAGATGAGGAAACTGAGGCACTAAAGGGTCAAAGTGCTTGCCCACCCAGAACGTGGTGGAGCTGGGATTTGAACCTGTGAGACCTAGGCCTGGAGCTGGCACTCTGCACCACTTGGCCCTGCTGCGTCTTTCTGGGCCTGGTTCTGACCACTGGAGCTGCAGTCCGGGGGGTGGGGTCCTTGAAGAGCACCTGGACGGGTCTCCGTCTCTTCCACCTGGAAGAACCCACCAAGCCAGGATTTCACACTGTCTCCAGTCGGTTCCCCTCAGTGCCCACCCAAGGTGGACGCTTCACTGACCACTGCCCGCACCTGGTGTCCACACCAGGCCCCCCCAGCAGTGGGAAGCCCCTCCGCACAAGCCCAGATTCTGCCTTCTTGTCTCCACTCGCCCTCCTCCGTCTCCGGGAGCTGGCGTGGGGCAGAGGCTCTTGCGCGCAAGGGTCCTGTCCCCACTCCTGTGGAAGCCCATCCCCCCAAAGGAAATAGGCCACCCACTGCTGCCCCCAGGCCCTCCCAGAATCAGGGGGATCAGTGGGGACTCCCTCACAGGGCCCAGGCAGGAGGCCCTCAGCCCTCACCCCTGGCGCTGGGCAGGGACCTTTGGGGGTGTGTTTTCCACCCTCCCTGCTGTTCCATCAGCTGGAACAGGAGTTCCTGGGGAGGGAGAGAGATGGGGAGAAAATTGGTCTGTGTGTTTTCTAACTCTGCCAGCCCCTTCTGCCCTGCTGGCCTCATTTCTCCCTCCCTCCTCTTCCTCACTTTGCAGCTATAGTGGGGAGGCCCAGGGAGGGTGTGCAGCACCGGGGCTAGGGTCTCCCAACACACCAGGAGTGGGGTTGGGAAGCAGTCCGCCAGCCCCCCACCCCTCCCCAGCACCAGAGGCCCAGAGCCGCCCCTGCCCACGTGACTTGGTGCTGGCCGAGGCCTGGGCCGGCCCGGGAATGCCAGCCTGAGTGTACCTCCTCGTCACGAGATCCCCCGCAAAGGCCAGGCCTTTGGCCTTTGACTTGAGCTGCCAAAGAAGCAGGCAGTCAGTGCCCAGACTGGGGTGAGAGCTGGCCTGGCACCCTGGACCCTCTGCGCCCATACGTAAAAATGTACATGCTTCCATGCTTCAGTTTTAATGCTAACATACATGTTTTCATGGTATAAAGGTCCATATTTCCATGCTGTACTGCAAAGAAGTTTTCAACTATACTTTTACATTGATTTTTAAAATGTTCCAAGATTTTAACTCAGAACTGTACCTCTCTTTCGCTGTGGCATTTTTTTAGCTGTGTGACTGTGGGTAAGTCTCTTAGCCTCTGCAGGCCTCAGACAGCTTAGCTGTCAGTTGGCTGACACAGGCTTGACCAAGAAAGGCTCTGCTTGCTAGAAAACTGGTTTCAATTTGCTGTGAGATGAAGAGGGCCTCCTCCACTAAAGCAGTGGGGAGTAAAAGAACTCTCAGACGGAGGGTTCTGAGCATTGGTGGGTCTGAAAAGCCAGCTTTGCCTTTAAATAACGGTTCAAGACAGACTGCTTAATCCCTCAGCGATGAGCAGGTATCGGTAGTGGTGACAGAGCCAGCCCTGCAGCACCAGGCGCTGTTCTCAACCCTCAATACCCCACGGGGGAGGTGCTATTTTTATCCCTATTTTACAGGTGAGGGAACTGAGGCACAGAGAGGTTTAGTAACTTGCCCAAGGCCACACAGCTGGGCATCAGGATATGAACCCACATTCCTAACTCTGTTGCCTTGGGAGAGAGCTGTGATCTCTTACTTCAGGAAGCATGTATCCAGTGGAAGAATAGAGGCAATGACCAAATCCTAAGAAAATTCAGTAGCTAGTCATTTCTAAAGAGGGCCCTGGCTTGCTCTGAGGGAACCAGGCATGGCCTCCGAGGAAGGGCCATGTAGGCTGAGACCTGGATGGTGAGTGAAAACAGCCTGAAGTCAGAAGAAAGGGCGCACCCAGCAGTGGGGATGCAGGCACCGAGGCTCTGGGGTGGGACTGAGCTTGGTGCCTGAGGAGCAGCGGGGAGTCCAGCATGGGGACTGAGCCGGGGGGGGGGGGGGGGGGGGGTGGAGTGTGGGAGACGAGGTTGGGGCCAGATTGGGTGGGCGGGGTCTCAGGCCACACAGGGGGACTGGATACTATTCTAAGGGCAATGGAAAGCCATGGAAGTGTTCGTAGCAGGGGAGGGACTTGGTAAATTTGCTTTGCTTGGGGAATTTCCAGGGCACATTCTCTACCCTGAGCTAAGGCTGGCATTTAGGGTCAGCGATGTCTTGTTTAGACTTGACCATGAGAGCTGAGCAGGGTGCGTAGGTGCCCTTCAAGCCTCAGAGTTCAACGGTTAGGAGTGCGTTTCCTCGGCCTAGAAACATCTCATGCTGTGCCTTGAGATCACTGGAATCCTCGCCTTGCCGGGTCTCGGGGCCTTTTTCTAACTGGAAGAGAGAAAAGGCGCTCCAGTGAGGGCACCCAGGTCTCCTGGCCATGTGTCTGGGTCCCAGAGACCCTGCCTGAGGAGGCAGCCCTGTCTCTGCACACAGAGGGCCTCTCACATCTGGAGACGGTTTCAGACATATGTGGAAGCGAAAGTGAGATGGAGGTGGAGCCGTACGGGCCGCAGGCCT